GTTAGGTATTTTCCGACTACCTAATATTCCATTACTTTGCATTGATAATAGAAGGTTGCCCAAGCTATAGTGCCTAGGGCTCATCATAAATGGAAACACATCGAATGAAAGTATAACTTGGTAAGAGAGGAAACATAAACATTATTAAAGTTGCTTTTGCTCATAATGTGACAATCTTAAGGAAGAGGGGATAAAGAGAAGGATTAACGTACTTAGTTCATTCGATAATCTGAAGGACTAAATTATTAACCCGTTAAATAAGTTTTATTTTAGTCCTTGTGATCAGTTTGAAGGACTAAATTATTAACCCGTTAAATAAGTTTTATTTTAGTCCTTGTGATCAGTTTTAGTGTTTGGGAATAACAATGTTAGTCCTTGTGATCAGTTTTAGTGTTTGGGAATAACAATGATTTTGACTATTTTCTTTATAATAAAAAGGGTTAACTCTTAATCCTTCTAAATAGGAGTATTAGTAAACCCCTCATATTGAGGGGTTAACTTATTTTAATCCCTTTAGAGGATTAACTTAAACCTTCTATATTTTTTATATTTGGCAAATTATGGAGGGTTAACTCACTTTAACCATTGTATAGATTTTTTGTGTTTGGCGGGTTAAGAAAGGGTTAAATCTTCTTAACCCCTCACTTAACCCTTTGCCAAACGGTATCTTAAGTTAAAAGGTGCTTGAGAAATATATTGATAATATGGATTTGAAATTTATATCAAAGTAGTTTTGAGCACAAGTGGAAGACGAAAAGATGTATGCTCTACAAAACTAAGAAATAAGAGTTTACATGTATATTTACAACAAAAACCTTAAAATATGAAATTTTTAAACAACCTTCTGAATAATATGAATTCACAGACAGAACCATAAAATCTAAAAAATACTAACAACCTCCTCACCAAAAAATTTAGAAAACTACAAAACTTATCCAAAAAATAGAGAATTTTAAATAGTCCCCTATACAACTTGAAATTATATACAATACCTTAAAAAATATTAGAAAATACAAACAACCCCTTTAAAAATCTAAAAAATATAAAAAATACTTCAAAACAATCTAAAAATTGCAAACAAATACCTAGAAAATTAGAAAAATTGTGAACAATTCCATGGACAATTTGTAATTACATATAGCACACTAAAATATTTTAAAAATTAAAAACAAGCTTTTAAAAATCTTAAGTTGTAGAAAACACCTAGGAAAAAGTAAAAATAAAAAATCTTCGATTATCCCTTCGAATAATCTAACCACTGATTATTCAAAAATAACAAATACCTCCGCAAGTCTTTAAAAATAGAAAAACATGTCAAAATTAATAAATTATAAAAAACTGCTCTAAAAATCTTATATTTTCATTTTTTCCCAACACAATTTGAAATTATAAAATCCCCCAAAATGTTTAAAAATTAGGAAAACCCCTGAGAAAATATTAAAATTATAGACAACCTTATGAAAAAAATAAAAATTACGAATATCTCCCTAAAAAAAATATTGCAAGCAAGCTCCTAGAGAAAAAAAAATCTAAGTGCTCTCCTTAAAATAGGACAGTACCAAATAAGTAGTTATGCATTTGCTTTATAAGATAAAAGTTCTTTGATATGTTTCTTATCAAAGTTCTAAAATTACAAGTTGAAAATTTTCACATGTCTGTTAGATCAAAGTTCTAAATTTTGTAAGGCATGACTAAATTTAATACAATATCAAGTTAGATATTAGTCTACAAAATAGTATCATCATCAAGTAGAGATTTAAGAACATGATTTTATTGTATGCAATAAATTATATGGTAACCATGAATTATTTCACAAATGAGTTATGATATAGGCATAAATCTGTTTCTCAGAAAAAGATGCAAGCTGAAATAAAATAGTTAAATTATTTGACAATGTGCAATGCACGTGCATCCCACCTAGTTTAGAAAGAGACATGACTTTATCTTGAAATTTGGGAGAAGGTTAAAAGCGACCCGTGTCTCTCACATTCTCCAAAATAGTCAATTATATGACAGCTAACAAGACTAAGCATTTTAAATGGGTACATTAAATGGGACCCGTAGATAGTGAGAGGGTATATAACTGGGTGCAATTTTTAATGGTGTTTTGTCGACTTGGTGTAAGCGGGTTGAGATTTTTTAGACCCAATCCGAACAGACTTAATTACAAAATTGATTCGAACTGTTAAAAATGAATTGATTCAGTCGATTTAATCGATTTAAACCAAAATTTGCTTAATCCTAAGGATTATGATTGTTCAGACTAATATCATGGCTGAGATGACTTTTTTGCCCTCGAAGCACGTGCACACTAATGCATCTAGTTAGGAAAAAATTATAAATTTTGTGCGTGACATTGTCTAAAAAATAAACATATTGGCATCAGAAAAAGAAAAAAAAAATCAAGTTGGTATGATACAATAAGCAATATTTTTTATTTAACATAACACCGACATAAAAACTAAAAAGAATCTAATTAAAGATGAAAATCTCCAAACAAAATAACAAATAATGTTGACAGATGATGTTTTTTACATTCAAAGTAAATGACATAAAAATAGAACTAAAGTTATAAGAGTCATGAAGATAATATCCAAAAATCAAATGATGAATATGAATTCAAATTTCACAAAACGCATCATCAAGTTGATGTATTATCAAATTTGAATATGCAAAGTTGCTGACAATTTGAATACGCATCATCATAAGCATTAAAGTGCACTATCGAAATAACATCAGTAAAGTAGTTCACCATATCCAATTAAATGGTTAAGCAAGCAAACATTGATATGTTTGATATTCCTAAAGTTTGATTCCATATTTTTGTTTCCACTATGCTTGCTTTTTCCCGCTGAGAGCTTCTTCTTTCATGTTTGCGAAAAAAAGGCGGCGAAGAAAAACAATGGAGAAACTCACTGGAAAAAAAGAAAAGAAAATGGGCAGTTTTTTTAAATGAATCTAAATGCCCCTTGGTGAGTAGTACCTAGGTTATAAAGGTGAAGATAGGGTGGCTTGAGTTGAGTTGAGTCTCTCGCAAGGTTATGTTTTGATTGGTGATTATTTTTAGTTAATATGCCTTGTCTTTAAAAAACAGTAACACGCTTGGTTTTATTTTTCAGAGGGTATTAGGTGAAACTATTTAGTCCATTAAATGAATTAGTTCAGATATTTAGGACTAAATAATGTGTGTGTGTGGGGGGGGGGGGGGGGTGT